ACAGAGTACTATCTTATTGTTTCTGTGATCTGTGACATAGGTATATATAGATATTGTTTCTGTATATGGAATTCCTAAACTTCTAAACCACTGTCTTCTAATTAGAAGATTTTTCGGAAATCTGTAACATATAAAAAAATCGATTAAATTTTTTACGACTTTGTTTATCTGATTTACTAATGCTTTTTGGCACTTCAATTTTGTCAAAGCAAAATATTTAAATTTAACCCCAACAGCTTGTTTTATTGCTACGTCTATGATTATTGTTACTTATGGAACGATCGTTGATTTTCTTTCATTGGTAAATATTGCAAATATACCACTTCTTCGGCATTGTTCAACACTTTTTCACTGGAAAAAATCTGACTAACAAGCAGGAAATCATTAAAAACGCAAAAACATTAGATTACGTTCAGTACGAAACACAGCAATGGCGAATGTCAAAATGTGAGCGTAAAAGTGGCGCGAAACTTAAATAAACCAATCACAACACTGGGAATAGTAAATATAAACATGAATCATTTGAGATTCAAACAAATATCCTAAATTATTTATCTATGTCTTTTCTTGATCTGTGTTGAAATCTATACCACATTACACAATTCATATACGTAATCTATATTCAAGAATAGTAGAGTTTACCATTACTGTTCTTCCGATAATAGAAGAGGAAGAAGAGCAAATTCACTCTTTACCTGACCTGTTCCTTTAATTTTTAATTGAGGTTATAATAAATACATTTTAAAGAAAATTGTGACAATGAGTGATGTTCAAGAACCTTTGTGTAGGCTTTGTATCAAAACTATAACTGATAACAGTTTTGAAATAATAGACATCGCTACTAGAGACATTCTACATGTGCTTTTGTTGAAATTGGTATGTCTGTAAAATATATTAGATTGTACTATCTCAGTACGTGAAGCGACGGCTATAATCTATTTTGATTTAATCGTTACTTTCCGTCACAGTTATTTCCTGTCTGTTTTATTAAAGCTGCATACATTTCAGAAGTGCGACGGGGAGAGCAAAGATGTTATATGTAACACTTGCAGAAAGAAGTTAAATTCAGCATTAGAATTTAAATCGGCATGTCTGAATACCGATAACACAATTATACCATATGTGGACTGTAAAAAAATGTTAGAGCTCGATATGAGAGAAATGTACATGAGGGAAAACGGAAAAAAGATAATGAATATTTCGGACAGTCAGAAAATATGTCGATTGTGTATGCAGCCAGTAAGTAGCGAGTTTAGGTGCATACGTGAAGAGGAACTTGAAGCCATTGAGAAATTGGCTCCTGAAATGGTAGGAATGATATGAAATACTTGCATTTTTCACAATTTAAAAAATTATACTTTGCAGATTATAAACATGGTCAAAGATCCCGTTGTTTGTAAGCCATGCTTCGATTCTCTGTGTACTCACAACAATTTTCTGAGAGATTGCTTAGAGGTAGAAGAAAAAATTAGTTCAGCAATGGAAAGTCCAGCAGATACAGCACAATCTGATTTATTCATTAAAACTGAATGTTTGGACAAAGAACTCGATATTAATGAGGCAGAATTGTCGATCAAAGATGAATGTGTTGATATAAAGTCAGAAGTTGAAGAAAAGAGGTACGAAAAGTCTTTTTTTAAAGTTAATCTTATATGATTAACGCATACTATTAACTTGTGTTGCCAAATTAAGACTTATCCCAGAGGAAGCGTCAATTACTACTCCAGTTTATAAGCTTCTTTCAAACTTCTCCTCAACCCGGTAGTCACAATAATGTTTCTTTCGCCACACAAAGATTCACAGTGATAAGAGACAAACAAACTTATATTTGCATACATTTTTTTCCCATCCTATAGGCAACCCAAATTACTAAATTGAAACGAAAGTAAAATAAAGTAATGATTTCACTTAAATATTAAACAGTCGTATCAACTGTTAACTTCATCAAGCCCGCACTTGCTCAATCTTCATTAATTTTGGGATATCATTGAAGAGATTGTGGTAAATAACATTCGTATTATACTGCGATACAGTGGCAAGAAAGTGAGACTCCCTGTTGGTTTGATAACTAAAGCTTTATGTGCATTAAATATCAAATTTTAAAACTCACTTTTCAGACCGTGACAAAATTGCAAATGACGTCAAGATTTTTCTGAATCCTCTTTACTAACACATTTAGTGAAATTTTTAATCTTATTATTTTAATAATTATTCACAAGTCCTGGCAACCCTACTATAGGATGCATTAACCTCATTAGAAAATTGTTGAGTCTAGTCATTGGTCGTTCTTTTGACTGTATTGAGAATTTCTTTAATTTGTAAAATATGATTTCAACAAGCTCATTTGGTATGTATCCAATGGTCCTCTTGCAGTTTTTCCTTATCATGAACTCGTTGAATGAGATATTCAAATTTGGAATGTATAGAACAATGCTCCGCACGATGTCGAGATACTTGTATAGTATTTGGACGACATTCCCTTCTATTTATAATTATGCTTACAAATTTGAGATTATTAATTACTAAATAATCAAAAGTTTGTTAAAGCACTAACATTATTGTCTGCAACAAGCTTACACTACCACCTAATTAACACGAACCCACCAAGAACTCAAAGCGAAACTTTTAACAAAAGCTATTATTAAAATATCAAAGAGTGACGATATTAGAAGTGGCAGCAAACGCTGATTTATTCCGGGCCAGTAATATGATTAATAACTTTAGAACGGGCATCAGTAATCTCATTAAAGTCAAATGCAAATGTGTCTGCTCTTATACAACTTTTATTAGAGTGACTTTTGTAAAATGCAATATTGAAATTAAAACCTGATTTTCAAAAATACTTTGTATATGCAATTTTTTCAGTGACACCTCACCGCAGAGCTCTGATAATGAACCATTCGCGAAGGTCCAGATGTATAGATGTAACGACTGTGATTACAAAACTAAACACAAGAATGCTATCAAACAGCACCAATTGAAGCATAATGATCCTTCACAGGTTAAAATGTATAGGTGTAATGACTGCAGTTACGAAACTAAATACAAGAGCGATGTGACAAAGCATGAATTGACACATAAAGGTCCTTCGCAGGTTCTAATGTACAGATGTAATGACTGCAGTTATGAAACTAAATACAAGGGCAACATGAAAAAGCATGAATTGACACATAAAGATCCTTCGCAGGTTCAAATGTACAGGTGTAACGTTTGCGACTACGAAAGTAGACACAAGTATGTTATCAAAAGGCATCAGCTAAAACACAAAGATCCTTCCCAGATTCAAATGTTCAAGTGTAACGAATGCGATTACGAAGCTAAATACAGGGGTTATATTAAAAGACATCAACTGAAACATAAAGATTCCTCGCAGGTTCAAATGTACAGATGTAACGACTGCAATTATGAAACAGTATACATGAGAGATATCAATAGGCACCAACTGACACATAAAGATCCTTCACAGGTTCAAATGTACAGGTGTAACAACTGTGACTACGAAACTAAATACAAGAAGAATATCATACAGCACCAATTGAAACATAAAGATCCTTCCCAGATTCAAATGTACAGGTGTAACGAATGCGATTATGAAGCTAAATACAGGCATTATATTATACGACATCAAGTGAAACATATAGATCCTTCGCAGGGTCAAGTGTACAGATGTAATGACTGTAATTATGAAACAGTATACATGAGAGATATCAATCGACACCAACTGAAACATAAAGATCCTTCACAGGTTCACATGTACAGTTGTAACGACTGCGATTATAAATCTAAATACAAGAGTTGTGTCAAACGGCACCAACTGAAACATAAAGATCCTTCGCAGGTTCAAATGGACAAGTGTAACGACTGCAATTATCAATCTAAATACAAGAGAAGTGTCAAAGGGCACTAACTGAAACATAAAGAACCTTCGCAGGTTCAAATGTACAAGTAACGACTGCAAAACTTAATACAAGAGAAGTATCAAACAGCACCAAGTGAAGCATAAAGATTCCTCTGCAAGTCTAAATGTATAGGTGTAATCACTGCAATTATAAGCCCAACTATAGGAGCTCTATCATGTGTTGAAGCATAGACAGCCTTCTCAAGTGCAAATGTACCGGTGTGATCTGTGCTATTTTCAAACTAAGCATAACACACAAAAAAGGTTTGCAGGTGTGGATTACCACCCATCAATGTGCATAATATAGTCAAATGTAGTGTCATTTAAGACTAATGGTTGTGAATGACACCGAAGGTAAAAATGTGAACGTAACAATTGCCTTTATAAACTTCGGTTGAAACACGAAGTTGCGACACCAAAACACCTCACTGAGACAGAGTGCTGAAACCTAGTGATGAAAAGTCCATACTTTTCACGTTTCTCACAATGTGACAGTCTACTGATTGACAAACCGTTCATAATTTCTATGAGTTATGTTAAATATGCGTATATACAGGGTGTAATTATAAGTGGGGTCAATTTTATTTTTCTGGTACATATTCTTTCTTTTTAATCAAATAAAAAGTTGATTTGTTAGTTTTTTAAATGCACTTTAATTCTTTAGATTTAACTTAACTGAAATGAATACTTCAATTGTTTATGGCTTTCGGTATTATGATGTTAAAATTTATACGTAATTTAATTTTAAGTCACTCTTAGAACCAGTTTGTTATTTTTTAAACTGGAATCTGTAACAGTGTAATTGAGTTAGATTTAATCTGGCATGTGAAACTTAAAGATTTTCTCTATTTATGGCAGATTCACAGTAACACTTGGAAACCGAACAAATTGAATCACCCGGTAGAACATTGTAAAAATATAAAAAATTTGCCATAATTTTGAAAATTATTTGTTAAAAAACAAACCATGTGCCTTTATTAGTGGAATGTTGAATATGTGTTGTTTTAAAAAATTTATAAAATAAACCCTCATGTTCAGTCAAGGGTTATTTTTATAAATTGGTTTTGCCTAAACAAAAAAACTCTTTTTAATAGACGTTAAAATTCAACAAAAGTTCAGAAGATGAAAATAGTTGGTTTTCTATACATTGACTACATTTTTAAAGTGCGTCATATTGATTGGTGTGTTTGCGTTTTCTATTTACCTGCCTTTTTCGGTGCGAAACTTTTTGTTTAGGCAAAATTAGTTTCATAAATATAAGTGTTAATTGACGATTGTTCAAGTTTTGAAATTCAGTGATGAATACTTTGAACGTTACAAAAATTTCGTACAAAATACTAGTACGAAAGTATTTTAAAATATTAAAAAAAAATACTTCTTTGTACTTAGTATTTAAAACAGTATTTTAAGTATGTTGAATTTTAAATATATTGAAAATATTCATTAACAGTATTTAAAATATTTTTGTCAAATATTAAATATAAAAATTAAGATGTGATTAATAAAATATGTTCATATGATCATCAAATCATTAAAAAAAAACGACATGAGTCTGAAAACAATAATTTTCATCTAGACTACTGAAATGCAGAATATTTTATTCACACATGTCATAAGTTTTTCTTAGAATAGCTTAAATTTTGATGATTCTGTACTGACTTGACTAGTTATGATAGTGACCTAAGGTAATGGTAGTAGACAGAGTAGCAATAGCGCAACGTACATTGCAGTGTAGAGTGCGCTAAATCCAGGCGTGCAGGTGCTTAATTTTTTTTAGCATGTGTTGTAGGTATCAGTCGCCAGTCGCAACAGACAAAAAGTGTTTGTTTCTGGTAGGTATTTTGGGTATTTTAAATACTTAATAGTATTTAAATTACATTTAGAAGATTTTGAATACTTTATTAAAGTATTTGAAATACAAAATATTTTTGGGGTTATAATAAATGTATTTTAATTACAAAATACTTCCAGCTCTGAACGTTCTGGACACGTTTTGTCCTTTTGTAGTTACAACAGATGAAAAACGAAGAGACACATTTATTATTATTTTTTTTTAATAAAGTTGACCTTATCACAATTGAAAATATAAAATGAACAGACCTTATTTCCACTATTTGGCCACAATAAAAAAAAATATAGATAGACGTATTCCATGGGTTATAGAACGTTTATCGAGTGAAATTATTATTTCGCTATTATTTTGCCATCTGTTATCTAATTCAATCTGAGAAGAAGAAGAAGAAAGATATAATGATATAAATGTGGTTATGGAATGGCTTTATTGTTTACGACTGTATTGTGAAAGTTTATAATTTCTTATTAGAAAAGCACTAAAGAAATATGCAAGCAAGAATCTTGGAAGAAACATTTTGTAGACTGTGTCTCAATACTGTAAGGGATTCAAATCGCCAGGTGATAGACGAAGTCATCAAAAGGGATGTTCTAAAAATTGTTTTGCCGGGTGTGGTAAGATCAAGTTAACAAGATTACTTTTATACCCGTAGTGTAGTGTGTAGTTCATTTGTACTTAATTCCAAATCCATTTCAGAATTTGGAGGAAAACAAACATTTTATGTGTACAACGTGTTCCGTAAAATTATTTGCTGCTTTTAATTTTAAATCAATATGTATGGAAACGGAGGATATAATTTTTCCTCATGTTAACGCCAGTAAAATGCCACTGATTGATTTAAAGGAAGTTTATCTAAAAGAGAAGGGAAATAGTCAGTTAATCGATATATCGGAAGATCATAGAATTTGTCGATTATGTTTTCAGTCGGTAACTTTCGGATTTCTGGCATTAAATGAAGTGGACGTCGACATAATCCATGCATGTATACCACAGCTTGTAAGTCATATTTTAAAGTATTTCTTAGGAAAATATTTGGATGAGCCAGAAAATGATGGATCCCATAAATAATATTCTGTATAAGTGTCGTATAAACAGAAAATATTTATAAAGTTGGTAAATAACCTAACTTTATTTAATGTAATAATATTTTTTTGATTGTAGAATGTCAGTGCTACCAGGGATCCTGTTATATGTAGAACATGCTTTGATTCGCTTCGTACTCATGGTAGTTTTTTAAAAAGCTGCCTTGAAGTACATGAGACATATACAAACGGAGATGAACAATTTTACATTAAAACTGAAGAAATTGAAATAAAACTGGAAGATGATCAAGACGGGTAAGGATATGTTGATAAATTTTGTAATTTTATAACTGTACTTTTGAATTTCCTAAACAGCTAAGAAAATTTTAAATTAGAAAAACCATTTGCAATGTAAATCTTTTAGTTTTGAAAATGTTTGTTTTGACTTGTTGTCTGAGGGCATGATGCTTGAAATAAAATAAAAATAATGATTTCACTTAAATGCTAAAAAGTGTTACAACTGTTAATTTCTTTAGGTCGTCCGTGCACAATCATTGTCAATATTGTGAGGTTTTAGAAAAGATTGGAAAAATAACTTAACCTTGTCATCTGTTGGCAACAAAGTGAGACTTCCATTTGATTCACAGACGTTAGAAATGACAGTCAACACTGATTTATTTCGACGCAGTGCTTTGTTCGCACTCATGATTAATAATTTCAGAGTTTTTATTAGCGATTTTTTCATAAAACAGTATTTGGTCATGACACTTTAATATTAAAACTTTGCATTGGAAAATATCCTGTATATACAATTTTTTCAGCGACACACCACTGCAGACCTACGATAATGAACCATTCGAGAAGAGTGACTGTAAAGATGCAGAAGACGATGCATGTAGAGCTGAGAATAGCGCAACAAACACATGTAACGTGAAAATCAAGCAGGAGCCCAAAGTATCGGATGAATGTATTTACGAAACTGGATGCGAGAGCTGTTTTACGTCACAACGGAAACATAAAAATCTTTCGCAGGCTCAAACGTATAAGTGCAATGACTGCGATTATGAAACTAAATATAAGAGAGATTTTGAACGGCATCAACTGAAACACAAAGATCCTTCGCAGGTGCAAATGTACAAATGCAACAACTGCAATTACGAAACTAAATACAACTGTGCTATCAAACGGCACCAACTGAGACATAAAGATCCTTCACAGGCTCAGAAGTACAAGTGTAACAAATGCGATTATGAAACTAATTACGGGAATTACATGAAACAACACCAACTGAAACATAAAGATCCTTCACATATCCAAATGTACACGTGTAATGACTGTGATTACAAAACTAAATACAGAGGTAATATCAAAAAGCATCAACTAACACATAAAGATCCCTCACAGATTCAAATGTACAGCTGTAATGACTGCGATTACAAAACTAAATTCAAGAATAATATCAAACAGCATCAACTGAAACATAAAGATCCTTCTCAGCTTCAAATGTACAAGTGTGACAAATGCGATTACGAAACCATATACAGGAGTTATATTAAAAATCATCAACAGAAACATAACGATCCTTCACAAATTCAAATGTACAGGTGTAACGACTGCGATTACAAGACTATATACAGGAATGATATTAAAAAGCACCAACAGAAACATAGGGATCCTGCTCATATTCAAACGTATAAGTGTAATGACTGCGATTATGAAACTAAATACAAAAGTGCTATAAAAAAGCATCAACTGACACACAAAGATCCTTCACAGATTCAAATGCACGCATGTAATGACTGCAGCTACAAAACGAAATACAAAGATAATATCAAAAAGCATCAACTGAAACACAAAGATCCATCGCACATTGAAATGTATAGGTGTAACGTCTGCGACTATGAAACTAAATACAAGAGTGCTATCAAACAGCATCAGCTGAAACATAAAGATCCCTCGCAGGTTCAAACGTACATTTGTAACTACTGCGATTACAAAACTAAATACAAGAGTGATATCAAACGGCACCAACTGAAGCATAAAGACTCAACCGGTCACTTCGGGACCGGGACACTGACCGGATAACGATTTGGCCAGTTAAACCAATATTATGTTAAAATACACTCCCTTTGTTTTTACAGTATAAAACTAAATGTGTAAATACATGTTGCCTACTTCACTGTAATATGATGTGTATAATTAAGAAAACTTATGCTGGAAGAACTTTTTTATTGGGAAAAAAGCGATACATGTGTTACTTTAGATTACCGTATTAACATAATTGCAATACATACATATATGTACATATTAATTCTTATTAAATGGGCTATTAAATATCACATTTAGTACGGAACTGTACCGTAAATATAGAAATACTCTCTAAAAGTAATCTTGGGTTTTCTTTTGTTTCTTTGTGTGAGGCCGGTTAAAAGGTTGCCGGTTTAAATGGAGTCCACTGTATACAGTTGTAAAGATTGCAATTACAAAACAAGAATATTATCAAACGGTACCAGCTGAAGCATAAAGATCCTTCGCAGGTTCAGCTCTTCAGGTGTAATGACTGATTATGCCACTAAATATAAACAATGTCACATATCACATTTTCAATCATAAGGATTTGTTGCATATCTAAATGTACAGGGAAAGTCACTATAATCTGACAACTTATTGTAAGTGTATTATTGAAATTACAAAAAAGTTTTTAATACAAAAGTTTTAGCTTTTTTTTATGAATTTTCATAATGCAGTATTAGAAAAAACAATTGAATAATGGAAATCACTAAATTAAAGACTTTTTTTAAATGGAACGCCCTATATATTAGGTCATACTTCGTTAAATTTTTCTCTTTTCAAAAACATATAATATGTTACTGTTTGATTCAAGACTTTTTCTACATATTTCAGTTTAAAACTATTTTCGAAAAAACAGGGGAATTTATGTCTGATGGATCGCAGTGGCCTATGGACGAGGCACGCGGAACAAACAAATGACTGACAGTTTATCATCATTAATTTATTTCCTATAACAAACTATTTTAACAAAGAAATAATGTTTAGTGAGAACGAAAAATTTGAACTCACAATAAGTTGTCAGATTATAGTGACTAACCCTGTATGTACATTTAGATCTGCAAGAAATCATTATGATTCAACGTGTAATATTTGATATTGCTTATATTTAGTGGCATAATCACAGTTATTACACCTGCAGGGATCTTTATGCTTCAGCTGGTGCTGTACAGATGCAGTAATTGTGATTATGAACCCAATGGAGGCATAGAGTCTTCTCAAATGAAAATGTACTGGTGTGATCTGCGTGATTTGCTAACTGAATTACTGCCCATCAATGTGCAAAATATAGTCAAAATTGGACTTATTTAAGAGCTATAAGACACTGATCGTAAATATTGGAACAAGATGTAAATCGTAATGCTTGCTTTGAAAAACATCGGTTGGAACACGAAAATCTTACTGAAACAAGAGGACTAACAACTGATTTGTAAAAATTAGTAGTTATGACAAGTTTCCTATTTCTCGCAATGTAACCATCTATATTTACAAACGGTTTATAATTTTGATAGGTTAGTTATTATGTCATGTATTTTAAACAAGGATATTGTATACTGTGTAAGTAATAAAAAAATCTAATTTATACGTTCTTAATTTTTTTAATAAAAAGCTGTAAAAAACTGCTGACTTCACTATGTATTTACAGGGAAGATGTGCAGTGTTGCTGGTACAATATAACATGTCAATTTGAAAGTTGAAACCTGGTGCAACAGGTGGAAAGTCAAAATTAATCCCAACAAAAGTTCGGCTATCCTTTTTACCAAACGAAAAATCCCACAAAACCGCGACAGACTGACACTATCCCAGGAACCCATCTCCTGGAATCGACAAACACGATACCTGGGCGTGACGATGGACCAGCGTCTCACGTGGAAACCGCACATCGTGGAGACGGTGGCGCGAGCGAAGACCACCAGGGCTAGGCTCTATCCCTTACTCAAAGGTGGAAACACCCTCAGTTTAAGGAATAAGCGAACGCTTATCAAGGTGGTACTTCAACCGCAGCTAACCTACGCCTCCACGGCGTGGGGTCACGCGGCAAAAAGCCACTTAAAGTCATTACCGGCTGTGGAAAACATAGCCCTCCGCACGGCCACCGACGCGCCCTGGTACGTAAGAAACTCTTGACATATTACGAGACTTACAATACACAAACGCTACACAGACAATAAGACAAAACGTGGAGAAACGGTTTGACGTAGCCGCTAGACATGACAATCCCCTCAGGCAAGCCGTTGACTACGTACCCGACGTGACCGACAAACACAAAAGACCTAGACACCAACTTTTTGATCCTAGGTGACCACCCTAACGACACCCCCCCCCCCTCTTGCCCGCTAACCTTTTCTGTTTCAGAGACAGCCAGGATCAAGAAACGAAGACAACGACACACACACATATACACCCCCATACCCTCCTTTCCCCTCCCCTCCCGCGCTAGCCTGAGGGCCACCTTAGCAAAGCGCATCCCAGGCTGCATAGCCGCACTGCCCTACCCAACCATACCACACATAAATATGACACCACCCCCGGGGGTTTACACAGACGAGCCGGCGAAGCAAGAAGAGCGCCAGAAGAAAGTGCCCTAGCCGGCGGGGCCCAGCCAGGACAAAAGGAGGTCCCACAAAGCGCCTACATCGGCCGCATTTGCGGTCGGGGTAGACGACGGATGGGGCCCACCTACGAAGGCTGTCCAGGCCTACACGAGATGAGGCAGGATAAAGAGAGATAATCCCCCTCGATCCCAAATCATTGAGGCCAATTTCTAGCCATGGAATAATGGCGCGGTTCGTGTAAACCACCCCCACACTACCGTGGATTGGAGGAATTTTACGGCGAGTGGTCTGTCGTAAGGCCCTCTGCGTTTTCCAGAGGCTGTTGTCTTGTGGATCCAGCAACTCCAGGTGCCTAGCCCAGTTGTCCTAGGCCAGTTCATCCAGAGCCGCCTTCACCCGTCTGTTAAGTACGTTTAAGTCATGTCTGTGTTGGGGGAGAGACGGACAGTATCTCACTAAATGCCGTCTCAGTCGAGCACGCACGCGATTGGTTGGAAATTAATACTGGGCTCCGTGCTAGAGTGAGATAGCATCTAATGAGAAATTGTATATCTCTCTCGCACACAGCCACACTTTTCGCAATAGCTTGCTACCTCCAGTAGTATATGCTCGAAGATTTCGTCCATTCGTCGCATTTTTTCTACGATACGAAATTTATTGTCGCCGCCGTCGGTAAAATAAATTGCATCATTTATAAATATCAGTATTATGTTTAATATGATTTATTTATTCATTACAGACATTATTTTGATAAGTACGATCATTCTGGTCCATTTACGATAATTTTACGCTGCTCACATCCAGGTTGCGGTTATTGCCTTTCATCAGTTTCATCCGATGATTTAATTGAGGTTAAACAACTGACAAGTCACGGTTGTATACTTACATTTCAAAGGAAATTATAATGACTGGTGTTCAAGAATTTTCCTGTAGGCTATGCCTTAAAACTGTTATCGTTAAAAGTTTTGAAGTAATAGAAAATATTATTAGAGATATTCTCGATGTTCTTTTGCTGAAACTGGTAAGTCAGTGAAGATATTAAATAAAGTGTATAGCGATTTAACAATAATTGTTAATTTCTGCCAAAGATATTCTCTTTCTGTTTGGTTAATGTTGCGTACATTTCAGAAATTCGATGATGAGAGCAAAGAGGTTATATGTAATGCTTGCAGAAAAAAATTATATGCCGCATTCGAATTCAAGTCGAGGTGCCTGAATACCGATAACACAATTATTTCACATGTGGATTGCGAAAAAATGTTAAAGCTCGACATAAGGGAAGTATACAGGAAAGAAAAGGGAAGCAAGTCAATTTCCGATAGTGAGAAAATATGTCGATTGTGTATGAACTTGGTAAAAAGTGAGATTATGTGCATACGTGAAGGGGAACTCGAAGCCATTCAGAAATTGACTCCTGAAATGGTTTGAACAATATTAAATATTTATATTATGCGCAATTTAATGAAACACATTTGCAGAATATAAATATCATCGAAGATCCCGTTATATGTCAGGAATGTTTTGATTCCCTGTGCACCCACAACAGTTTCCTTAGAGAATGCTTAGAAGTAGAGGAAAAAATTAGAGGTGCTTATGATAATTCAGCCACAGAAAGTCGAATAGACACGTCACCATCTGATTTATTTGTTACGACTGAAAACCTGGACAAAGACTTGGATATGAGCGAGATGGAATTTTCAATCAAAACTGAGTGTGTCGACATAAAATCTGAAGATGAGGAAAGAAGGTAAGGGAAGACTATTTTAACATTAATTTAAAAAATGGTTGTGGTACTGTCATGATTTGTATAATTAAATGAGTGCATAAGTATATCAATAAATTTTTAATTCATATTATTGGCGTGTCACCAAAAAGAAGTCGTATCGTACTCATGGAAGCAATCAATCGCTATACCAGTTTATATATTGGTGATATACAAATTGTAACAAATTTTATGCTTACGTTGGTTATAAATAATGTTACAAAGATTTTTGTCTAATCAAAAGCTTGATTAATTGAGTTGGAAAAAATATAATATCTTGACACAACAATCAGTATGGCTTTAGGTTGCATGTGGGTATAAAGAATACTTTACCAGTTTTCACTAAAGAACTCGTATCAAAATAAAAAAATTACAATGTTTTATTTTCATTTTTAATAAATATAATATAGAAAAGTTTTTATGCTCGGCAGTTATAAAAATCACATTAAGTACTTGTGATCTTACCATTTTTGTAACGAGAATTATGTCTTCTATATTGTACGAAGAGGCCGGAGCTATTGCGTTATTGACAATTTTAAATATAAATATCAGAAATTTTCATTAATACGTATAGAATTTTATCACACTTCCACTGAGAGTTTCTGTTCCAAATAAGAACCCACACAAAGCATAAAATATATTTTATTGCAAATTTCCTCTGTGCCAAGGTGCCTTGTTTTGCCACTAAACAGCATCAGAGTTTGTTAGGATATAATGGTTAGCGGGTACTTGCATAAAATGTGCCTATAGTAACTGTACGAAGTAGGTCAAGTTTCTGTGGCAGTAGTAGTCAATGGTAGTAATAAAGATATGCATGTTGTCGACAGTTGTTAATTATTATTATCCAGATAAAACATTGTACAAATATATAAAGATAACCCATCACATTATGGGCCCAGGAAAGCTCAATTAAGTGAGGAAAAAGGTTAATAGTGAATAAAAGTTGAGTAATAAAAGGTTAAAAAATTGATAAGTCAACAATAAACTTTTCGCAGTTGCAAAAAAACAATTCTTCGAACTGGAAATTTAGAGTAGAATGTTTACTAGTTGAAAAAGATGTGAAGAGTTTAGTAAAGAAGGAAGTAACCGAATCAATACTTAATTCCATGGGTGAAGAAACTAAAAATAATCACTTAAAAATCAGTTATAGTTCAGTGTGTAACAGGTAAACATATAGAACATATAAAAGACTGTAAAACGGCTTATGACATGATAAAAGTTTTAAGAAATATTTTTGAAAGGAAGAGTACATTGTCAAAATTAACAGAAATGGTAGGCGGGTTAGCTTGCATGTGGTATGGAATTGAATTAATTCAAGAAAAATTAGCGACTAAACTCGCTGTTCCCAGGATCTGCTTGTGGTTTGGTAGGGGAGGTTTCTAGGGGTTAGGTGGGTTTATCTCGAAACCCGTGGAGTTTTGGACTTTGAGCAAATGAAGACATTTGTTCAGGATGCCGAGGTACGTAACATATAAAAAATTCAGTCAATTTAACCAGAAGCCATTTCCCATAAGGTTTGTGCAGGGTCCTTTGATGAAATGAAATACAAGTATGAAAGCCAAGATTGTAATAATAATAGAGAACTCAAACAAGTGACATTAATAGAAGAAAATGACACAAATGAGAGCCAAGAAGAATTACCAAAAGATAAACCAGAGATTGAAAACAAGAGAAATATCAAAATACCCACAAAATTCGATGACTATAAGTTATATTTTGCATACTGTTTATTAACTGAAGCATATAGCTGTACTCCACAAACATACGAAGAAGCAATAAACGAAACATATTGCAAGAATGGGATAGAAAAAGAATTAATGCTCATAAAAAAAACAAAAAACATGGACATAGTCAAATTTACCAGATGGAAAAGATATAATTGATACCAAGTGGATATTTAGAACAAAGCAAGATGGAACAAAAAAGAATAATTGGACAATACTACAAACGGATATCCCAGCAGCATTTTTGAATTGAGAAATAGAAGCAAGTGTGTATATCCACTGAAAGGTTTAGGAACAAAATCAACAGTTGTGAAATTAAATCGGGCATTATATGGCTTGAAGGAATTACCAAAATTGTGGTACAACTGGTTCAATAATTTTATGATTCACATTAATTTTACCAGATCAAGTTTTGATTGCTGTCTATATCATAATTCCTCGGTATGGTTAATTGTTTACGTTGATGACATCTTAATAACAGAAGACAAGGAAATAGAAAGTATAATAAATTTGCTAAAAGAAGAATTTCAAGCAAAAAATATACAAAAATACTAAAATCATTTAACATGGACAATTGCAAAGGAATAGCAACCCCGATGGAAGAAAATTTTCAAGTGGATCACGATAGTGACAATAAATGTTCCTTATAGGCAACTAATAGGAAATTTGATATACGAACTAATATCACATTTTTTGTATCTTACTTAAGTAGATGGTTAGACAAACCCAATGAAAAGTATGGAAAGCAGGAGCACTACGTCGTTTACAATCAATGAAAGATGGACCAGAATACAAAAATAAAGGTAGTGAAGCCTATACTGATGCGGACTGGGGAACTGATGGAATAGACAGAATAAGCGTAAGTGAAATGTTGTTATGATTTGGAGGAAATTCGATTCACTGATCATCTAAAAAAAAAACAAGAATGTGTAGCACTTTTGACAGCAGAAGCCGGATATATAGCAGCAGCTACAGCAGCACAGGAACTGATTAACGTCCACGGAATATTGAGTGTGTTTGGTGTTATGAAGTGCACAAAACTATACTGTGACAATGAAGGTGCAATAATGATGTCAAAAAACTTTGAGAATAGTAAACGAATTAAAGATATAGACATTAGGTATCATTTTTTGGAAGACTAAATAACAGATAATGAAATTAGTATAGACCATGTTCCAACAACGGGCAATATTGCAGATATATTAAACAAGCCACTGAATAAAATAAAATTTGAAAACTGTAGATCAAAGTTAAATATTTTGTAAACAGATTGTAATTAAAAGGTAGCAATTTCAATTTGTTAGATTGCTAAGGACATGAAATTGAAGGGGGTTGTTAGTATATAATGATTAGCGGGTACTTGTCTAAAATGTGCCTATAGTAAGTGTACGTAATAGGCTAGTAAGTGTACGTAATAGGCTAAGTTTCTGTAGTTGTAGTAATAAAGATATGCAAGTTGTCAACAGTTGTTTGCACCAATGTATAAAGATAACCAATGGCAAAAAATATTGGTTCATATTCACTAATATGCTTTGTCAGATTTAAATGGAATTTTGTATGCAATTTTTTCAGTGATGCGCCACTGCAGACGTCCAATAATGAACCATCGGAGAAGAGTGATTGTAAAGATGCGGAAGAGGATAGATGTAAAAATGAGAATGGATCGGAAAACAAATGTAATAAGAAAGCCAAGCGGGAGTGCAAGGTATTGTACAAATGTGATAAACCTATTTACCAAACTGGATGCAAGAGTCATTTTACCATGCACTGTGCAAGACACAAGAACAATTCGGAAGGATATAAATGTGAATCCTGTGAGTCTGAAACTGAAAATAAGAAATTACTTCAAAGCCGGTTGAGACATAAAGGCCCCTCACAGTTCAAAATGCACAGGTGTAATGTCTGCGACTACGAAGCTAAATACAAGAGTGATATAAAAAAACACCAACTGAAACATAAAGATCCTTCACAGGTTCAAATGTATAGATGTAACAACTGCGATTATGAAGCTAAATACAAGAGATGTATAGAACAGCACCAACTGAAACATAAAGATCCTTCACAGGTTCAAATGTACAAGTGTAACAACTGTGATTACGAAACTAAGTACCAGTATGTTATCAAAAAGCACCAACGGAAACATAAAGATCCATCTGAGATCCAGTCTTACAAGTGTAACCACTGCGATTTTGAAACTAAATACAGGGAGTCTATCAGAAACCACCAACTGAAACATAAAGATCCTTCACAGATTCAAATGTACAAGTGTGATTACTGCGATTATGAAACTAAATACAAGGATTGTATAAAACAGCACCAACTGAAACATAAAGATCCTTCACAGATTCAAATGTACAAGTGTGATTACTGCGATTATAAAACTAAATACAAGGGTTATATAAAACAGCACCAACTGAAACATAAAGATCCTTCACATGTTCAAATGTACAAGTGTAATTACTGCGATTTCATAACTAAATACAAGGGTTATATAAAACAGCACCAACGGAAACATAAAGATCCATCTGAGATCCAGACTCACAGGTGTAACCACTGCGATTTTGAAACTAAATACAGGGAGTATATTAAAAAGCACCAATTGACACATAAAAATCCTTCAGAGATTCAAATATACACGTGTAAAGACTGCGATTATGAAACCAGATATAGGAAGGGTATGAAAACTGCATGAACTGAAACATAAAGATTTATCTCAGGTCCAGATGTACAAATGTAATCACTGCGACTATAAAACTAAATACAGGGAGTTTATCAAAAGGCATCTACTGAAACATAAAGATCCTTCAGAGGTATCAAATGTATAGATGTAATAACTGCGATTATGAAACAAAATTAAGGGTAATATTAACAACCACCAACTGAAACATAAAGATCTTTTGCTGGTTTAAATGTACAGGTGTAACGACTGCGATAATAAAAATGAGTACAAGTGTATATTATCAACACCAACGGAAACAAGAGATCCATCTGAGGTCCAGACTTGCAGGTGTAATCACTGCGATTTCAAAACTAAATTCAGGGGGAATGTCAAAAAGCACCAAGAGGCATATAAAAATCCTTCAGAGGTTCAAATGTAAAGGTGTAATGTCTGCAATTACGAAACTAAATACAAGAGATACATCGAACAGCACCAACTGAAACATAAAGGTCCTTTGCAAGTTCAAATGTACAGGTGTAACAACTGCAACTTTGAAACTAAATATAAGGGGAATATCAAAAAGCACCAACTGCCACATAAAAATCAGAGGTTCAAATGTACAAATGTAACGACAGCGATTTTGAAACTAAATACAAGAATGGTATTAAATATCACGTTTTGAAGCACAAAGAGCTTTATTAAATGCAATCGTACTGGTATGTTTTGCTAATAACCAAACATAAAGTGTCTTTGAGAAGACCTCAGTTGATGAACAAAAAACGTTCCCAGGTGTGGATTACTACCCTTCGTACTACCCTTCGTGCAAAATATAGTTAGAAATGGGCACATGTAAGAGGTACAAATGTAAATATAACAGCGATGGCAATAGTCGGAGAGAATTATATGTGTATTTTAAATAACAATACAGTTTACGATGTAGAAAAAGTAATAGGTCCTTACCTTCCATGTAGACAACGATTTTCAAAATATATGTCTAGAGAAATTAAAAAAAAAAATTAATATCAATTACTTTTGATTTTCAAAAATGGATTCAATTTACCTACCTTAGTCGCACTCAGAAGATAGTGCCGTTTGCATAGGAAACTGTTTGTTGAATTTCACGCTAATGCAACAATTTTGCACTAAGACTTTTTTATGTTGTAGAAAAAGTGTATATTGTATGTGAATTATGAAATATAAAATAATTTTGATTAAAGATTGGGCTGATGCTCTTTTCATTTTTAACTTGAAAAGATTCTTCAATAATAACGATTAAAATTTCCGTACCTCACAATATTAATACTTAGGATTAAGGTTTGGACTTTATTTGTAGTGTAACCTTAAATGAATAAATATGATTAAACTCTACATGCTTTCTTTATAACGTACCTATCTTCCTGTAACACCGTTCCCTGCCTATGTTACAGTTATTTTAATAGTTCTAAAATTCATGTTTCGATGTACACAAAAAAGTAAGTTTTGTTTTGTCATATCACAAAACAAAAAAAAATACGAAATTTGTAACAGTGTTGCTTTATTTCTGCTATTACCATCTTTGCTATCTGCACCATATGGAGAGCTCGATCACGACATACTGCACAGGGCGTCCATATAAACCTTCCCTACCCTAAATTTCGAAAAACCATAGGAAATATCTGATTTCTGTAAGGAACTAAATTCTATTGTGCTTAAATTTGACTTTACGTCTGATTAGAAACGCCATTAGCCTTTACAGCCGTGTAAATATGGCACTGCAATCTAAGAGAATTGTTCAATAGCAAAACTGATCCTGACCAATTTTTGATAAACCACTAGCTTACGAGACGTCTAAATTTGAAAGTATATTTTTTAAAGGATAATAATAATGAACAGAATAGTTTTGCAAATTGCATTTTATCTAAAAAATAACTTATTTGTGTAACAAATCTTGGTTTTTTCTATATACCGGGTGATTCAGTTTGATATTCGCGACCTCGTATCTCTTTTATTTTAACAAATAACTATAACAAACCCTATATATTTTTAAATCGCCGCTCAAACTCTATCAAATGACATTATTAGATCGTCCCCATGGTAACATATGTCAAAATTGCTATAGTCAATTGTTTTTTTTTTTCAAATAGCACACTATATATATATTTTTATCAATTCTGGAAGATATTTTTTTTCTACATTTTCTACATACATGAACTGAAACATAAAGATCCTTCGCAAATTCAAATGTACAGTTGTAATGAGTGCGATTACAAAACTAAATTCAAGAATAATATCAAACAGCATCAACTGAAACATAAAGATCCTTCTCAGCTTCAAATGTACAAGTGTGACAAATGCGATTACAAAATCATATACAGGAGTTATTTTAAAAAAAGAGTGCTATCGAATGGCACCAACTGAGACATAGATACTTCGCAGTTCAAACCTACAGGTGTAACGATTGCGATTATGAACCCATGTGGATGGAGTGCAGATCTCACTAGGGAGGGAGCGAGACAGTCTCGCTCAACGTACCCTGTAAAATAAAGACTGCTCAATAGGTTAAAAGTGTACATATTTAAAGAGCAATAAGAGTATACTGTGTAGACCATGTAGTTTAATAAAAAAATTTCTAATTTAAACATGCGTGATTTTTTTAATAGAATAGTATTTATTTACACGGAAGATGAACCATGCAGTGTTGGCGATGTTATATACAGGATATCTCAGTTTTAATTTATCACACTTTGAGGGTGGGTAGAACAACGAAGAATAATTGAACTTTGTCTTATAAATTTCCTTGGAAATCGCAACTGGTTTCAAAACTTAGAGTGCTAAAAGTCTCCAAAAAATTTATCCCCTGAAATAATGCACATATTTGACTCACTTCGTTCGTGTGCTCAACTCCGCTCTCGTGGGCAATAAACGATTTACCGGATTTATTGCACGATATACTATTACGGCAAGGCTAATCGGGAAGAGTAATAGAATAAAGCCTTTATAGCATGTAAGACAAAATCCTAATTATGTCAACTAGGCAAATAATAGTAAATAGTGGTGTTACACAAAATATGCTACTAAAGATTTTGAAAAAATAACATCAAAGTCCAGTAACGCCAGCAGTAGCATTTCTAATCATTAAAGATGTTAATGTTTGACATGCGTCTCTTGTTCTGTTCATCAATTTTTCAAGGGTATTGGATCTTCCTTATCCTTGTAAATAATATCTATACATGAAAAGAGAAGAGCGTATTTTTTTGTTGGAGAAAAACATTTTTTAACAAAAATTATAGGGGATATTTTTTCGGAAAATGGATGCGAATTCTCGTTCAGAGATTAATATCTTTGGTTCTATCTGTCGTAAAGCGATAAACTAAAGCGCGTTTTGAACAATTGAAAAGTTAAACAATTTTTTTGCAATTTCAGCATTTTTAATATTTTTTTTTAGATTCCACCCGCTCGCGTTCTCTGACGTCGATTGTCCGGGCAGTTTGTTTCATGTTTGTTTCTTTCTATGAACACCAAATTCTTCTCATATAGTTTGGTAACTATATAGACAATGATAAAGCTAATATTTTTTAATATCGATTTGGTTTAATTTTTTATTACAGTCCGGAATGACATATTTTCATTATTTATATAATTCAAAGTAGCTCGGCCATTGTTAAAGTTAATTTCTACATTAGAGTCAATACACACGACAGGCGTCCCATGGCCAGTTTCTTGATACACGTGCAATGGCATGGGTCTTGTGAAACTTGTGCGAATACTCCTATCTATGTTTTTATTAATTGTTGTGTTTGTACGTATTGAAGTGTACTTGTAACTGGTAATTTGTAATAAATGAACTTGCAACTCGTACTTATTTTAAACTTCTTATTATTACAACGATGTACATCACGACTTCGCTCTGTCCCCCACTGTAAAACTAAAATAACTAAAATAAAATGTTTATCTACCAAAAATTTCAATGTTTTATTAATTGAATCAAAAAACTAAATTATTTGTATGTAAAATAAAAATAAATATTTATTCATAACAAAAGTGTAAGTTGGGGAGTTTGAATCCACCCCCCCACCCTTTTTACCCCCCCACCACTTTTTTTGTTGGCCCCGCCCCCTCCACCCAATCAGAGAGCGGGGAGTTCCCCCTCCACCCAATCAGAGAGCCGGGAGTTCT